GGATAAGTTGTCAGTGAGAATGATAACCACACATACATATACTTGAAATGTTCACATACAAATAGTACATGTAAATATGGATCGGATTTACAGAAAAAAGCTAAGTTTCTATTTTGCATTTTTGATCCGTGTTAAACTCGTGTTACATGTTTTCGTGGTTCACCTGCATGTTTTCTTGATAATTTTTCATTAACTACTAGTATCTTATCAATCTCCATAACTACAGGTAGATTTTGAGTTGCAAATTCATTTTGAATACTATGATCTTGATTTGGTTAGAAACGGTAACTCAGAAATCAGATCCGTCACTGAAATGAAATAGAAATACCAGAACATCAAACAGAAAGGTAGGTCACAATTACATAGTCAGTACACGAGAATAACAATTTAGGCACTGTGCCCTTATTGCTGAACAAATATAATAACATTGTTGCATCTGGACTGCGTAATTGGGTAAATTACACAAATTTCGGTTACTGAAACCCAATATATTTTGTGGGTCACATATTACACATAACTGTTATCTTACATACATTTTTATGATCTTTGAGTGTAATTAGTCTCATTTTCATCTGGAAATATTTATCAAAGGTCCAAAATAAAAGAAAATTTAGATAAAAAGTAATTACAGTAAGAATTCACCAAGATAATGGTTATATGACCCAATGGTGCAATGATCATTTAATCTGGAAATTGGAAGAATTAAAAAATACAAGTTCCCTCAATATCTTATATTGTCATTGTCAACATGAAGAGTTATGAATAGCAAGTAATGGTATGTGTTGCAATTATAATATTAAACCTAATCTGACAATGATTACAGCCAAAGCTAAGAGGAGCAATGCTATGCGGCCCCCAACTGAAGGTGGACCCCGCCCAGACTCTCCTACAACCCCTGAGCAGCTTGTGCTGCAGAACCTGGAGGGCAGTCCCAGTCTCTGTGGCATATCCGGCGGCATTGACTCAGAGAGCAAGTGACAACACACTTGCACAACAAACAAGAAGGAGTTGAACTACAAAATGTACCGTATTTACAATAACACAGATAGGTTTTCAGATAGAAAAACACATTGTATTCTGTAAAATCCACTGATCCATCCAATTTTAATATTTCATTAACAATTGCAACTGAATTACACTTTTATTGGCAGATAACAGATCGGATACTCAAGCAAGTAATTTTGCGCAATTAAATCTCTGATACCAAATCCTTCATTGACATGAAAGGCCACAAGCTGATTGAGGGCCTTGCAGTGTCAACTCTTCCACATCACTGATAACTGTATCAGACTGTAATATGCCAATGTTGTGTAAGATAACACAGGCCACAATGTACTTGCATGCCCTTGATGGATTTGTTCTAAGACCTACAGAGAGCGAGGAAATCGTCTTTTTACTATCCCAAAGGTCTGTTCAACCAGTACCCGTGTCCTACACAAAGCTAAGTTAAATGTTTCTTTGTGCCGAATATTATTAATGTTGTATGGCGTCATTAAGTATCTCCGGCATGGGTAGCTTGGATCCCCGAGAAGAATGCCATCGTGTAGTCCTGGAAAAGAATCATTTCATGATGTCAGTGAATTGAAATAGAAGAGAAAAAGTGTCCTGTATCCAAAATAATTCATAATTTCATGCGATTGATATGAACATTACAATTTTGTAAAATTTCAAGCTTGTTATAAAAACAATTTCATGGAAACAGTAGAAATACTTTACCATTTTCAAAGTTTTCTGACAGTTTGCTCTCCCTGAAGATCCTAGAGTCATGGCATGAGCCAGGCCAGTTAGCCACGCAGTTAGTGATGAGGAAACTGAGGTCGCATACCATCTGAAATAATTAAAAGTACATTGAATTTTCTGTTCAAGTTAACCAATTAAAATATATTTCTACATAAGTTTGACTACATTTTTCGATAATGGTAAAGTTGTCAGTTTGCGGTTTTGTGTAAAAGTCATAAGGTGTAACAAGGAATCATTTCATTTAAAAATATCATGTCATCAATGATCACATTCAAGTAATTTGTTTTGTTTTATTAGTATTACAATTTATAGAATTGTTTGGGGAAGGGTAGTAAGTCTGATGTTAAATACTCGTCAAATTGCAATACTTCATTGTTTATGTGATTATGAATAAAAATTGACAATATTTTTTACATGAATATTTTGTAGTCTAATAATGTTTCTCCTTTAATAAGAATGTTTTTTTAAATTTAAAAGATCGATGGTGCATTGCATATAGTTCAAACAACCAACATTGCTTTGGGTTACCTGAACATTCAAGGAATGAAAACACTTTCTGTTCACAAAATCAGGCTCATTTTCAACAGGTGCGATAATGCAAATCTAGGTGCCGTCGATGCAACCTTTGGGAAGCCTAAAATTGAAAGAAAAATCACAAAGCCAATTTTACCTTTTAACATTGTTTTCCTGTTATATTGTCTCTAAATTAATTTTTGAACTTATTTACGGTATTTGTTCACACAGCTTTCAACATGTGGCATTGGTATCTGCAATTATAGACTGGACAGTTCGCACTCAGAAAGACTTGTCCCTGTCCCGAATGATAATCTTCATCGCGAAATGGTTTACATGTAAGACATGCAAGTTTTTAGTAATACTTAAAATATTTTAGCACACATTAAAATTCATTTTGAGAAATATTTTATAGTGCGATTTGGATTTGGTTACGAATGCTTTGTCAAACAAGGGGACGTCACTCTAGTCGAGCCGGGTATTTCAACAGTATCATGGCGTCTGTTGTGAAGAGAGAAATATTGTTCAATATTATACAGTAATTGTAAATCTATATTAATGAATCACTGCTACAGAATTATTATTTACCTGCGATTTGCGTGAAACTTCCTTTTCACGTCTAGTAGACGCTGGCCACTTGGGAATTTGATAAAGGTGGAGGCGTGACGACAAATGGCATCGGCCACTCGCCGAACACACCTCCCCGCGGTCGACTTGCTGATGTGTAAGGCTTCACCGAGAAGCACTTGAAATGCCCCCGTTGCTACGAACTGCAAAAAGGTTAGCACCTGCAGCACAGGTGGAAGGCTCAAATTTAAGATCTCCTCGTCTCGTGAGCAATTTGTCCACTGACGAGGTTTACCTAAACAAATATTGTTGATCGTCTGAAACGATACCGATGGAAAGTTCCTCGTCACCATAACATTCGAGAGGGTTGAATCTATCCGTAAATTTTCTTGGGTTTCGCTCTTTCCTTTCCTTCTGTCTAACAAGTCTCAAAACGCGTGTCTCCGCCATGTTTGCCAGGAATAAAATTGACTTAAGTCTGGTAGGTAACAGTCTCAGGATTTAAAACAAAAAACGATCTTAGTCTTTAACTTTTAAGACTAAAAAATGTACGTGATCTCCGATTTAAGACAATTTTTGGACTTAAGATCAAAATGACAGATTTAAGCAAATTTTAGACTTAAGTCACTTTCATGACCCCGGGGCCAGGTGATGGGACAACTCCAGTAGAAGACGATGTCATTATATCTGCTCTAGAGACGTCTGATACTGAGTCGACACACCTTCCGAAGCTCTTGTAGCTATTCCGGAGGGTCCTACGCTCCTGTCAAACGAAGAGTTAATTCTTTCTTTTTTGACAGGAGATGTCCCATTTTCAATGGACGAGACTGGTAATGTTGTTGTTGAAACGGAAAGCATGAGTGTGGAGGCAGAAGTACGTATGAGGTGGTCCGTGAATTTACTATTCCAAAAATTGAAGTAAAGAAACAACGCAAACACACACAAAACTAACCTGCCACAGGATTCTTACAAGTGATGAGATAATAGCTTGTGAAAAAAGAAGACAGAGACAGTTAAGTAAAAATCCCCAAAACTAACTTTCTCATGGTAGCAACGATGTGCATGTTGTCGTTCTGTAGGGCCAATTCGTTAATTTGAAGGTCTCATGTTGCTTACTTAATCCAGGGATACTCTACAACAGGGATAGGTCACTCGCTTGCTTTCTTTACCATTTGTACTAATTAACGTGTGCCTCGTCATGCTCCAACGCACACAGTGACTTGGTTCGGTCCCAGCGCAACTTCGGCTGCGTTTAACAGTACTTCAGCCAGTGTATTGTATCAGTCAGAATTTTACAATGAATGAATGAATGAATGAATGAATTAAGAGCAAGAATTTTATGTGAATGAATGAAAGAAATTAAGAAAAAGAACAAAAGAAAAAGAACATATGTGAATGAATGAAAGAATAAATGATACACCACGGCCATCCCTCCCCAAACATGTTAAAGAACGCAAAACTATCGGTAGAACACAAATGTTAACATCAGCTGTCATTACTTTGAGACATGTTTTTACATTAGTAACTAATTCAGATATCGTATTGCATGTGTGGAATGACATGGGCATTGACAGAATGTTAACTGACACTGTCACAGACCCCTCAAGAACAGAAAGTTTAGAACTATCACAAAGCGTTGTAAACACCTTTCCAGTTTTGTCAAATACTAAGATCAACAAGAAAGAAAGAAGTTTTAGAACTATAACACTCAAGCATCACAAGCATCAATGGCGATATGTCATATTTTCACACACCTCAAATACACACTAACAAAAAAAAAAAGGAAAAAAGGTATCAATGTTACTTGCAAAAACCTTTCACCTGATGGTATATTCCCCTCATAAAAATTGAAGGCGTATGTGAAAGATGTTTTAGAACACTAACTAGAAACACTCAAACAACGCCCTGTAGTATTTCAATGGCAGATCGGCGATATGTCATATTTTTCACACACCTCAAATACACACTAACAATGTTTTTTAAATTATAAAACTATCACTATTACTTGCAAACACCTTTCACCTGATGGTATATTCCCCCTCAAAAATTCAAAGGTATATGTGAAAGATGTTTTGAACACTAACTAGAAACACTCAAACAACGCCCTGTAGTATTTCAATGGCAGATCGGCGATATGTCATATTTTTCACACACCTCAAATACACACTAACAATGTTTTTAAATTATAAAACTATCACTATTACTTGCAAACACCTCTTCACCTAATGGTATATTCACCATAATGGTATGTGAAAAGATGTTTGTGAACACTAACTAGAAACACTCAAACAACGCCCCTGCAGTATTTCAATGGCAGATCGGCGATATATGTCATATTGCCCTTTTCACACACCTCAAATAACATAACAATGTTTTTTTAAATTATAAAACTATTACTATTACTTGCAAACACCTTTCACCTGATGGTATATTCCCCTCATAAAAAGTGTGTATGTGAAAGATGTTTTTGAACACTCAACTAGAAACACTCAAACAACGCCCTGTAGTATTTCAATGGCAGATAGCATAGCAAATCTTTTTAGGTTATAAAACTATCGTGCACACCTTTCAAATATATTTCTTTTTATATAGTTTTTTACAGCTTGAATTTTACAACATGCCCACTTGAAACCTTATATACTGACACTAATAACAATTATTTGACTTGTATGACAGAATATAATCTTCTCAGTTTTCAGTTGTCACAACACTCCATGAATGATTGGAAAATAAAAGCTCAATCTTAAAAAACGCTGCCGCCATATTCACGTCACGACGAGCCGAGGCACAGCTTGTGGAAGGAGTGACCATAAGTCTCCTGCTTAATCCAAAAGAAATGGCTTATGGAAGCCTATTTTACAAGTTTGGGAGTCCCTTTTAAATGAAGTTTAAAGATGACATAAATAGAGTTATATAACTTCTTTAGAAGAATATGATTAATTCAGTTCTCTTCAAAAGTGTAGACTCACTTAGCATATCTTTCGTGAATGATCTTTTTTTTACACTTGTCTTATAAATAGTATGCATAATCAGTATCGGCATTAAATAAAAATATTATCAGTCTTAACTAACATGAGTTTGGTTTTACGCGATCGGCATTATTTCAGATAGCGAAGTATTTATTCATAAGCATTCCAAGTACAAAGTCCAGGTTTAAAGACATATAATTTGATTACATTAATATTTAAAAAACAGAATGTCATACCAAATTTAGAAACGAGCAATTCGCCATTCACATTACATTATTACATATTATGATACAGGTTAACTTCCCTCAGGTAGTTAAAATGAGATGTCCGCTCAGGCGGGGAAAAAGATCTTTCAGATTTCTCGCATCATAATGTGAGTCCCTTGCAGACGATAAGTCCACACAGTCAATCAGAATATGCTTTATGGTGAACACTTCATCGCCAGAAAGCGACACACATAGGAGGTCCATCCCAATCCGTTTTCAGGAGATAGTCATGAGTAAACCGACTGTGGCCAATACCACATCCGTCAAAAAATCACCTCATCACGTCTTGACTGACAACCCAAGAGATAAGAGGCTTGTCAAGAGCTGCTTTAGCTGCAGCATCGGCCTTCGTGTTACCTGCTATGCCGACATGACCAGGCAACCAGCAGAGGACGATGTCGCATTGGCCAGTGGAAAGATCCTTGTAAAGTTCCAGGATGTCGCATTGGCCAGTGGAAAGATCATTGTAAAGTTCCAGGATGATAAGGTGACTTGAAGTAACATTTTGAAGTGCTTGAAGGCAAGACAATGAATCTGTTAAAATGATGAAGTTTTTGGAATGGTTCTGTTGTTTAATATAGGTCAAAGCTGTGAAGATAGCTTTATGAAATATTGAAATCATCCACGAAAAGGGACCCATCAACACAGCTGTTCAAAACGTTAGTGAGGCTGTTAATTTTTATGCTAAAAAGTGTGGCAGACAGGATGCTGCCTTGAGGGACGCCCTGGTCTTGGTGGAAATACTCAGACAATGTGGAACCCACCCGTACTTGATAAAGTATGATAAAATTACCTTTTATCCAACATTGTTATCACAATAACTGTCTTAGGTAAGCATATAGGTAAACACAATTGCGTTGTCTTTTTATAATTTTATTAACGATGTCTTATATGATAGATCTGCAGTAGGCACACCTCGAGTAATTTCCTCAGTATCAACTGTATATCCAGTTGATGACGGATTCATTAAAATCATAGGACTTGCACCAGGTAATGAATTGAATAACTGCGAAACAAACAGAATAGAGTAAAAAGATATTTGATAAACACCCGAACTATTAAATAGGTAAACCTTACACATTCGTTTCAGTATAATGCAGTGTGAAGACACACTATACATATGGTGTACGGAATTAAATACCCTGTACGGTATTTGAAGATTTGATGTACAATTTTAGGCTCCCGTGTACAGTATTAGAAGATCGCTTATCCCATGCTTGTTTTCGTCATCTCATGATAAACCAAAACCGGAATGCGGAAACGGTTTGTTTAACGACCAAGTTGATTGGATGAGTTGTATTTTGATATCCAGAAGGTTGAAGGTAGAAGAGATGAGACCGCCTCTTGGTCGAGGTGTACGGTATTTGCCACCCCGATTACCGACCTTAACGAAACTTGATTTTGTAAACTATCCAATATGGAGGAAAGGTCACTTCGGTGATCGTGTTCCTGTATTTTCCAGAACATCCCAACCGATTCTAGGTTTATCGTCGACGTTTCAGATTTATAGAGATCTGTTTCTTTACAGCAGTCGAAATGTTTGTTTTTGTTCCGAGGTTTAGCCATTTTGATAGACGACCGAGAGTAACGCTTACATGTTTACGTCGCGGAATTGTGGGATAGATTTAGGAGAATCCCCGAATTTGATGAAAATATTTGCATTACGAGTTTGATACAACTGTTTTTAATGATGCCATTAACTAATGATGCATTAAAGGTCACATGCAATAATTAAAACACAATTATCACTTATTCATGACATATAATATACATTGCTGGTTATGAAAAAAACATATAAACAAAATTATAAGCGTACAATCGCAAATCAAAAGTGCAATATTGTGTACTTGGGTTTACTTCCCAAGAAACGAAGCAGCCGGGATACCGAACCCAGTCAGAGCGGGTGGGAGTGCACTCAAATGTAACGGCTTGTTCATTTGCAGATGCCCCTCACGGCTCATTGTGTGTGTGTATATATATAGAGATGTTGGGTTGGGTAAATACATGTTCATTTTTTTGTGTATAACATTTTGCAATCAACAGACATCATAACATGTCATGTGTTCAAGTATCACACCTGCCTTTCTGTGTAATTACATAATGTGACAGAGACCGAACTCGGGCCATAAATCAATGCGTTTTGTTTATGGTGTATAGCCTGATTGGTGTTAAGTTCAAATTGCATGTGGTCAGTGATCGCAGTTGTGTATTGAATATTGTCATTAGCAGACAGGCAGGCAGACACACAGGTGTCAATAAAACAAGACATTGAGTTTTGTCTGTGACAACGACATATCTATATCACAGTTAGAAATTCTGTCAACGCTAAATAATGACATTGCTTTTAAGTATCGAACTGAGAAAGTGACTCGGTAAGAAGAACGTGTGGTGAAATAGACAAATGAAATTATATAAACAGTTTATTTACTGTCATAACATATAAAAAAGCTCGCGCCTGTGAGATATCAACAAAACATTAGGAAAATGGCTCACACCAAAGCCTTCACCGAGTATTCACCGGACAGCCCGCTTCCAAGTTGCGCGAACCTATTTCACTGCGCACGTGCTATGAGCGCAGCCCAGCTGTTGAAACCAGTTTTCCCCCGAAAAGTCGGGGGAAAATTAGTGAATCGTTTGAACTCCGATTTCGCGCGGGTTTTTTCATCGCGTTATTTTTCAACTTTATAAGTTGAATTTGCATTTTTTGATGATTTGTTTCGGTAAGTCCATACCGAAAGGTATCAGAATCTGCAAAGTTGTGTTTTACGTTGCATGTGACCTTTAAGAATGAGCGTTAATTAATTCAATAATTTCAATTAACAGGATGCTTTGAAGACATGTTTTAAATAGCCAGATTCCAGGGAGAATCTGAAAATATGAGGAACTGTGTATATGTAGACTGGTTGTTTATATATATTTTAGAGCTGCTAGTATGGTATTGGACTCGTGTAAAAATGGAGCCGCCATCTTGAAGGTATTGTTCTGGATTCAATGACCGTGGAACTAGCAACTGTGTCACCAACCTTGGATCCATCTGTGAAGATTGATTTAAAAGTATCATAAATGTTTCTTAATTCATTATATTGTTGTTGGAATGTTTCAGATTTATTCTGTTCAGTTAATTCTAGGCCCACCTTTGGCCGTATTAACTGCCATGGTGGAGAAGAGAAAAGCTGAGTTTGTATTTCCGAGATCGATTTTAGCTGCACCAACTGCAGATTGTATTCTGACTCCAAGAGGTGGAATACATGATGAGTTGTTATTCCTTTTCAAAGAGGATTAAAACACAGTCACATGCAGGGCTGGATTTAGTAGAACGTAATTTACAAATACCGTGAAGATAATTTATGACGGTGTAGTTTTAGCTTGGCTCATCAGCCTCTACATATTAACAATGAATCGGTGAGGTTCTGAAGTCTCCAAGGCAAAGCTTAGTCCTTGCAGTGGTGATGGATTGAAACTTGTTTTGTCCCTTTAACATAAATATTTCAAAATTCGTAATAAATGATATTTTCAGGTTTCGGGTCATACTCTACAAAGACAATAGGAGTTATGAAACCTACCAGTTGTCTAAATTAAATCCTACCAGTTGTCTAAATTAAATCCAACAAAGATAAAGTGAAAGACAAATATCTTGGGGGGAAAAACATGTGTTTTCGCTCTATCTGCTTGTCCCACATTGACCTGCACAGAAATGTTGCACGATGTGGAACATTTATGGCCACATAAGTCTCATTACTATCAAATATCAACGAGGAATAGACGTGATATAACATATATTCAAATATATTGTGGCTGCTGGGACTCAAACTTCTAATAAACCTTGTCCGTCTTGGTTTCAGGAAGAGTCTAACACTTTTTTGCAATTAAAAATTCAGGAATATCTAAATCGTCGTGATGGCCATCACATCTTCAAAGGTCAGGTGCCCTGACCTATTAATCAGCCTCTAGACAGAGACCGATCCTCCCTGCCTCTATACAGCGAGCAACTCTGTCCGTGGCGTTGGGTAGCTTGATACATCAGGATCGTGGCTCTGGCAGTTTGACCACTGATCCTTCCTTGCGAGATGTCTAGCAAGGTACGGTAGTTGTATAGCCGTGACTTTCTAGCTGGTGAACGGTCCTCGGTGTTGAGAGAAGTGCCAGGGAGAGCAAGCACTTGTGATGGAAGAGGCTTCTGTCCATCCTTTGGACTCGTCCTTGCAAGCCTTCCTCAAGGGTCATTGTGGCAAATTGAG